GGTTTGGGGGTTCTTTCCTTAGAGAGCCCTCTTCTTGCATCCTCTCCACTAGGCCCCTGTCAGCCCCAGTCTCTCCAGCAGCCAGGAAGCTCCTGCACAGGGAAGTCCTGTTCAGCTGCTTTTTTCCCCTTATTGCAACTGGAAGCACAGGAGATAAGCCCGAGAGGGGTTAGTGCTCCAGGCTCCTGCACTAGGATTGTGGGGCAAGACTGCGGTACTCTGCCTTCTGCAGCCTAGTTATTACTTGGAACGCTATTAGAATCTCTGGATGGTGAGGCCAATGATGGTTTGGGAAGCTGAGTTTACCCCTTAGCTGTCAGCTAAAGCTCCTCATTAAGAAGGGTGTGATTTCTTGTGCAGAAGAGACCAAAAGAGCTTGGGAAGGGTAAAGATTAGAAAGCTGACCCTTCCCTAGGCACCCACCCTGTACTGCTCCAGCCTTCGTCCTGTTGCATCTTTAAGACAACGGAGAGACTAATTGATTTCAAATTGGTCCTCTCTGGAGAGCTTGTCACGGGCGTCCACAGAGCCCCAGTCAGTAAAAGTTGTCTCCTCAACCGCTTATGACTCACACCCACCAAGTCTCTCTTGGGGCTGGGTCACCACAGCCAGTCTGTGCCCATCCGACGAGGCCTAACAGTGGGAGGTGCAGTGGGCCAAGACAGAGCCAAACTTCTCTTGTTTGAGGATGTGGGGGGCGGAGGGGCCTTCAGCGAGGGACTGGCCTCTTTATGCGGAGCCGGGTGCCTTGAGGTGAGCGCCGCCGGCCCTGGAGGCCGCCTTTCAGCCGTTGGGACGGCTTCATTAAGCGGCGCTAACAAGGCGTACAAATGTAGGGCCCAGCAGCTTTCTTGCAAGGCTGGTGCCTTAGCAGGGCGCCAGGCTAATGAGGGTCACTCAAAAGGGGCTGATCAAATATTCAAATTTCCCGGCACGCCAGGAACTTTTATGCAAGGAGGAAGTTGAGGCAACTGAGTTGTGTTTACTGTCCCGGGTGACAATTGCTGGGAGCTCCAATCCCCCAGGCGAACTCCGGGAGCGGGGGCGCTGGGAGGGAGCAGTTGTTGTTGTTGTTGTTGTTTTTCATTCAAAGCAAGGCAATCAGGGGTCCTTGAAGGCCTCTGAGCCTGCTCGCTGCGCGCTGCTTCCCCCGCGCCCTCCCCATCCTCCGCGCGCGCGCCCGGTTCGCAGTTGGCGTGGAGGTCCAGGACCACCGCCACCAGCCCCTGGCACCCCGCAGACCGGAAGGGGCGTTGCCCCCCACGACGAACCTGCTCCGCGTGGGGCGTTGGCGCAGGTGTCTGGGCCTCCTGGCCTTCCAGTCTCCGAAGCATACAAACTCCTAGGTTTATGAAACGGGGTGCGGGGGTGGAGGTGAGGGGTGCTGGCGCTCGCAGGGATTCCTCTGACTGGAGTGGAGATTTCTCAGAGCTGAAGGTGGCGGGTGACAGACATTTCTGACTAAATGCTCAGGAGGTCGTGGACCTGGTGCTGAAGGACACTCTCCAGCCTAAACGCTGCCCTTCTGGCTGCTGAGGCCGAGACTGAAGCGGGGACGATGGCCGGGCTTTTGCTTGGCTCAGGCGACCTCGGCCTGTATCAAGTCTCAGATCCTGGGATCGGAACAGCCAGCGCGCTGGGGCGACTCAGAGGGTCCAAGGTGTCTTACTTGCCCCAGTTTGCCCTGATCTGAAGGACCCTACTGTGGGTCCCCATTGGCGCCCACGAAGCCCTTAGTCCGGGGGCCCCAGCAGCAAGGGAGGCAGCCCGGGACCCTCGGCCCCTCTCCGCTCCCATACTCCCAGATCCACCCAACTACCCTGTCTGTCTCTCTCGCACTCACACACGCGCACACGCACACACGCACACACGACACACGGTCTCAGCCTCTCTAGACTCAGATTAGCGAAGCCTGCGCCCCCAGCCCCGCCGGGAGCCCGCCGAGCCCTGCTCCCCAACACCAGCATTTCCCTCCTCAGCTCCTGGGACTCAACTTACCGGCTCCTGGCGGCAGGGGTGGCGCTCCGGGCCTAGGCAGAGCAGTGCTGACTGCGGCGGGGCCGCGAGGTGGGCCTGCGGGGCATCGGGAGCTCAGCGCCGCC